CCCGAGGGTCTGTGGTGCACTTGGGGGTGTGGGGACTTTGGTGCTGGTCTGGCATCGACACTGAGCCACCTCTGCTCTGTCTCCCCCGGACAGTTCTACCTCCTGTGTTGGTGCCACGCCACACAGAGATCCCGGCCGAGTTCCCCCCACTGGACGACTACAGCCATTCCATCCCCGAAAACACTAACTTCCCCGCGGGCATCGAGCCCCAGAGCAATATTCCAGGTAGGCACGTGGGCGGCACAGGCTGGCCTGGGAGGCAGGGGCAGCGGTCAGACATCAGTCCTGTGGCCCCAATCTCTGCCCCCTGGCCGTCCCCCGTTCATCCCCTCTCTCTGCACAGCTCTGGCCTGAGGGCCCCTGACTCAGAACCACATCCCTGTTGGGAGAGGACCCATGACCTCAGCTCCCCCCTTACTAGTGATGCTTTTTTTGGCATAGAGGAGCAGCGTGACCCTTCCGCCCGGCCTTGGTGCAGTCATTTATTTTGGAAGCGGAAATAGCAACACTGTTTCTCTCACCGCCCATGAGGCCGGGACTGGCGTTCAGTCCCCAGTGGACCGGGGGTCTGCAGAGGCGGGGAGTGAGCTGAGGGCCAGGCAGCAAGTGCGGAGAGCTGGTTCTGTAAATTCGCCTGGGCATCGGGCCTCGGTGAGGGGCCCCCAACCTGGGTGGGAATTGAAGTAACTTTGAGTTTTCACTCTGCAGGGAGAAATGGGCTTTGCTGTCAAAGACTGCAAATGTTTTTAGAAGCCCCTCATTTACATGCAAATAATGTGTGAATCACCAGCACTTTCCGACTCCAGGAAAGCTGTGCTTGGCAGCACTTGGGCTAGTCACTTTTGCTTGCTGGGGCAGTAATCCTGCTGCGTTCCTCTTAGAGCATGCTAATTTGGACGTGACGTTCATCCTGGGTTAGTTTACTGAGCTGAGGTTGGCTACAGACCTGTGTGCTTGGGTCAGAGTGTTAAGGAGAGACCCACTGTCCAACCTTCTCAGATCCCTTGCGGGTAGCCCTGGCGTCCCAGGGGTAAGTCAACTACTCTGTGTTCAAATAGCAAACTTTGGAGGGCTTCAGTCAGGGTCTGGGGGAGGTTTCAGAGAAGTAGATCGCACTGTGTTTGCGACCATTGAACTTGTAACCTAATTGCTGAGTGAGGACACATCCCCTAGAGACAAATCCCCGGTCTGCACGGGAGAAGATAGTAGAGGGTGGGTCTGAGCCTGCAGGTCTTCATAGGATAAAGAGGGGTGAGGCAGAGGCAAGTCCAGACGCCTCCCTGGAGGGGGTGGGGCTTAACCCTCACCTTGAAAGACCAGGAGAAGTTAGCCTGGTGGAGGCTCTAGGAGTACACGCTTCAGACGTGGGAGTTGGTCCGGTCGTGCGTGAGCAAAGGCAGTTATGATCCAAGTGGGAGTCAGAGGTGGACAGGGGCGAGGACAACAGGACAAAGAGCTGGAACCTCTGCTCCGAGACCTGGAGCTTCTGCAGCCAGGGACACTAGCATCATGGTGTGCATGTGTGATGTGTTTGCAAAAGGTGTCTCAGAGCCCAGCTGTGAAGGCCTTTTAACGGACCTCCTTCCTTCTCATTCCCAGAGACCCCACCCCCTGGCTACCTGAGTGAAGATGGAGAAACCAGTGACCACCAGATGAACCACAGCATGGACGCAGGTCAGTCATGCAGGCATATGCTCTTATTCTTAACTGATTAGCAGCTGGTGGGTTCAGCCCTTCCATCCCTTCCTGTTCGCCCCCTTCCTCCCTCTCTCCTATCTCTCTCCAGTATTTGTAGAGCAACCATGATGTGCAAGGGGCAGGGCATAGGAGAGGGTCCGAGCTGCCCACGGATGATGGGGGAGATTGACAGGACAGCCAGCAGTCACTGGGCCATCTCGTGTGTGCCCTGATGGAAGATGCCGCATGGCACCAGGCACACAGCAGGGCCACTTCATCTGGTCTGGGGAGGAACAGCACCTTGCAGTCCAGGTTTTTCCCCACGTTGAGTCTTGGTGATGTGTAGGTGTTAGCCAAGCTGTCAGAGTGGGCAAGGGGTGTGCCAGGCAGAGTCATGGGAGTTGGGCAATTCTGGGTGCATTCTGAGCCTGGTGCATTCTGGGGACAGTAAGAGCTCGGTGTGTCTGGAGTCCGGAGAGTGTCCAGCCCAGGGAGCTCAGCGTGACTGGAGGATACACTCTCTTCAGTGGGGAGAAGGATGGGAGGGCCTGCCACACAGGGCTCCGGGTGTGATGGACCTTCAAGCTGGCAAGACCACTTGGCATTGAGTCAGGGCTGATGGGAAACACTGCAGGCTGTAAGCAGGGCCTGGGCCTTAGTGAGATGTCACCGGCAGCAGGGTGGAGAGTGGCCTCGATCACCTCAAGAAGTCAGGTGGGAGGCAAGAAAAGACTGAATGGAACTAATGCCTCTTCTGATGACCAGTGGAGACCCCTGAAGCCAGTATTTTTGTGTGACAACCACATGTGATGTGTGTGCTCCTGCTGTGAGGGGCAGGCTTTAGTTCTCGCCTGCTACATCTCCAGATGTTTCCCATATCATTTGTTATAGGACCAAATTGGCTCCAGACCAGCAGCTTCTTGAATTGAACCCCAGCTGCCACATAGAATGTGTACTGAGTTGTGTGTGGTTGGGAGAAGGGGAGAAGGGGAGAGGGAGCCACGCAGATGTTCCATTCCGATGGTGGTGGGCATGCCTCGTACGCACAGAGCCGCTAGACACAGCGGAGCCACCTGCCCTCGCACACAGCCCAGAAGAGATCGTGCGGTTCCTTCCCCCACCCGCCCCCTCTGTTGCCCAGGCTGGAGTGGAATGGCACGATCTCAGCTCACTGCAACCTCTGCCTCCTGGGTTCAAGCTATTATCGCGCCTCAGCCGTCTGGGTAGCTGGGATTACAGGCAATGCAGCACCACGCCCAGCTCAGTTTTGTATTTTTAGTAGAGACAGAGTTTCACCATGTTGGCCAGGCTGGTCTCAAACTCCTGACCTCAGGTGATCCGCCCGCCTCAGCCTCCCAAAGTGTGGGATTACACCGCATCCAGCTGAGGTTGTGCAATTCCTGAGAGAACGAAAGAGACTCGCATGTCCGTTGTAGTTGCTGAAATCCAGCCTGGACATCGTGGCACTTTTGGGTTGAGCACACCCGGTGGAACACACCCGCCCGGCGGAGTGGCTAGCAGCGCGAACCAGCTGGAATGCATCGAAGACCTTCCTGTATCCGATGCCAAGAGACCGCTGCAAGCTTGCAGCTCTTCAGTGCAGGCACGGGAAGCAGGCCAGCGGAGCAACATGTCTCCAGCTGCTGTGTGTCTCCCCACTC